ATATATATATATATATATATATATATATATATATATATATATATACTAAATATATATCCTGAGATGATTTAGGGACTATTTAGTGTCCCCGCAGACCAGTCCTAGACCAGGCCTATTTCTACCCCCAGGAAGCAGCCCCTGACAGCACTGCTATGAAACAGGGGTATCAGGGTGAAAGACGCTATCCAATGTTCGTATCCACTCAGCTGTGTGGTGGTCTAAATGGAAGATTATTCATGTGTAGATTAGAACTGAGGATAGTCGTGACCCCTGCAGGTAACCCCACATATTGACTAGATGACCATCGTATCAAAACTAACACAACTAAGTCAACAAGAATGTTGTTTCGTTATATATAATATAATCATTAGTATACATTATTAGTTTAGATGTGAGAGACATTTTTTTATATAAAATAAAATAATAATGTCACTATCAAATTCCTTATATATTATAATATTTATGATATTTTTAATTGTGATCTTTTTAATTATATATTTATATTATTCAAGAAATAGGTCAACAATTTCAACTCAGCATCCTCAACTGTCAATGAATTTCATTACAAAAACTAATACTAAACCTGCTGGTCTGTATGTTGTCTTTGAAAGTAAGTATTATATGGACCAAAATCGTGGTTACGATATGATTTCTCATGTAAATACAGTTAATTGTAATGATGATACAACGATTAATAATGATGAAAATAATAATGTATTTTGTAAATTTGATACATCCATATTTGATCAATTTAGAAAAGAGAATTGGTATTTTAATACCTTAACACCGATAATTTTATTATCTATTCGTAATCTTCCAAATTTTTTACCTATTGTATATGAGAATATTGAAGATCTTCCACCCTCTGCAGATCATGAGATTACAAGCCTGCGTGAAAATATGAAGAAAAGCTCAATTGCTAATGGTAATAAGTTACCAAAATGTGTATGGGTATCTTGTTCACATATTTGGGTTAATAGTCCAAACAAATATACTCCGCAAGGTTTTCCTGTTTATTATTTTCCAACCAAGGAACATATAGATGGATATTATGCCCCACTTCTTCCTATTCAATTGAAACTTAGCCCAGGTGAAAATATTATAATATGTAAAATGTGGGCAAAAAATATTAATATAATGAGTGATCCATTTGCTGTGGTTAAATTTAGGATCACGGTTAAAATGTAGGATTTATAATACTATAAAGCATGATATAGTAACCTGTTTAAATATTATTACTAAAAAGATAATTATATAAAAAATAAGGTATGTAGATTTGTTCTTGTGGAACAAATTATTCATTCTACTCTTGTATCAACACATCTTTATATATTTCTGAGCTTATAATATACAAAGAACTATTTTTTTTTATCATTTTCAGATAATTATAAAGTGATGGTGATATTGGTTCTATTTGTTCTTCAAGATCCCAACTGTCAGCAAGGGTGGCGCAGTTGCTTTTTTTTTTTTTTTGTAAACCATGAAAAAGCAATATGAAATCTACCCCAGAAAATATTCTGTTATAATACTAACAGCCCCCAAAAATATCATTCAAGTGTGGGATAAAATTGTCATATGGAGAAATAATTTAAAAATAAAAGTGGAATTTTTACAAAACTTTAATCCAACAATCAACTTGTATCATTTAGTGGAAAATTCATTTTTACTTATATTAGATAATGTTTCATCGATAAATGTAAGAAAAACATTTGCCGACGTATTAATTGATCTTCAAAACAGTGAAATAATTATTATAAAATGTGCTTCAATTACTTGGCCCTCAATAAATAAAGTGGAAAACTTTAATTTAAAACATTTTGAAGATGTTAAGATTATTTTAAGTATGAATGACTGGGAACGAAATTATGTATTGGTAAATAAGTACCTTTCATATGAATTTGCAGACATTAGTATTAAACCTCATTTAAAATCTTTAAATATTTTAACAGAAGATATAGGGAGTATCAATTCAGAAAAATTGAGAGCAAATCTACTTGATACTTGGAACAATGAAATACCCCCTATATACCCTTCTGAAGTTCTCCCAGAGAGTGAATATACTGTTACTGAAGTAAATAGCAACAAACGCAGCAGTGAGTCACAATCAGGTTCAATTGGCATGCCTTCAAAACATAGGAAGTATTACTGCCTGGTGTTATAATGGATACTGCTCATTGGGAAGCGTGTCAAAGAAAAGAATATATATGTGTGTGTGTATATATATATATATATATATATATATATATATATATATATATATATATATATATATGTATGTGTACCTATTTTAGTTTACATAAAATATAGGATGGAAGAACATGTACGTAGTAAATTAATCTCTTTTTTACTCAAAATTCAATAATTTCATTCGTTTATTATGCTATGATAGTGAACATAATGTTAAAATAAATATTTTATTTATTTATTTATATATTTTTTTCAGATGATTGAACCCTTTTTGATTAAAAATCCAGGACGTTTTACATTGTTCCCAATTAAAAATCATGATATCTTTAAAATGTATAAGAAGGCGCTAGCATCATTTTGGACAGTTGAAGAAGTAGACTTGTCAAAGGATATTGTAGATTGGGAACAGAAACTTAATGAAGAGGAACGTCACTTCATTTCACATGTTCTAGCATTTTTTGCCGCATCAGATGGTATCGTCAATGAAAATCTTGTTGAACGTTTCTGCCAAGAGGTACAAATACCAGAAGTGAGGTGTTTTTATGGTTTTCAGATTGCCATGGAAAATATTCACAATGAAATGTACAGTTTACTTATTAATACATACATAAAAGATTTACAGGAGCAGAACAGATTATTTAATGCTATTGAAACGCTGCCAGCTGTTAAGAAAAAAGCTGATTGGGCTCTAAGGTGGATTACCAATAGAACGGCAACATATGCCGAACGCATTGTTGCCTTTGCTGCAGTAGAGGGTATTTTCTTTAGTGGTTCATTTGCTGCAATATTTTGGTTAAAAAAACGTGGTTTAATGCCAGGTCTAACCTTCAGTAATGAACTGATTTCTAGAGATGAAGGGTTACACACAGATTTTGCTTGCTTGATATTTAAGTACTTGATTAATAAGCCTGATCAGAAATATGTATATTCTATCATTGATAATGCTGTGAAGATTGAACAAGAATTTTTAACAGATGCCTTGCCAATCAAACTTATTGGTATGAACTGTGATCTAATGGGGAAGTATATAGAATTTGTGGCTGACCGACTTCTCTTTGAACTCGGTTTTAAGAAACTTTATAATGTAGAAAATCCATTTGACTTTATGGAAAATATCTCATTAGAAGGGAAAACTAATTTTTTTGAAAAAAAAGTAAGTGAATATCAAAAATATGGTGTAATGAATTCAGATCAATACAGTGTTTTTACATTAGATTCAGACTTTTAGTTAATTAGTTGATGGATGGAATAGAACATGTTTTTTTTATATAGAATATAAATAATTTAATATAAAAATAAAAATATATATCTATTATCTTTTACTATTTTACTTATCATATTTATATTTTGACTTGATGAATAATGAATTAAATACCTTACATTCTCTCTTTCCACTAATTACAAGACTACAAAATATGAGGTATGTAATTATGGACATAATAACAAAACCATAATCTTCTTTATAAAATATCAACATATCACATGATTACCAAGCAGTGCTACTATCGTCCGATGTAAACACCAAGTTTGGTTATCGCCATTGAATCAACTTTTCTATTTTATATTCACCAATGAATATAATTCAAAGAGAGAAATGAATCATTACATTAAGTTCCATGCAATATGCCGGTGATACAATATATAAGAGCCTCCGTATCCAGTCCAGTCAACCAGTATGCCAGAATCCTGTTCAGTAGTAATACGGGCTACTGTGTAATGGAGCTATCCAAGGAATCTTGTGGTGTAAGTACCTAAAAGTTATTTTATGATAAGCATGATGAAGCTTTGGACACTATATTATAATAAATAAATAAATAATGTCTCAGGTGCATTTGTGATGAAATCTAATCTTTCTAGGATGATATTAGCGATATCAGTGAGGGAGCCGAAGAGAAGAAGATAAAAGAGAAAAAAGATACTACTTCAACTAGCAAGTCTATTATTGTTAAAATAGAAAACCATATCCATTCCAATGATGAAAATGTGGCTTTGAGAAAGTTGGTTAATATAACGCCTGAGACTATATAAAAAAAACAACGTTATTGTGAAATTAATACTCAAAGTTTATTACAAATATTAGAATGGTTTGCTAACCACGATGGAACCAATGTGTTGCTGTATGAATTTGCCCACAGTGCATCATGTCAAAAAAAAACTTGTACCCCGATTTGTCTAATGTTTCGCCGGGTTCGTCATCATGTAGTAGTTTCTAGACATCCACATTGTTCGGTGTTAATCTTATATTCAACCCTCTTGCATACACATGTGTCTTCATGTGTTAATGATGATTGTGGGTTGCCTGCTTGTCATAGACTGAAAACCACCAGATCAACTATAAAGTTTCGTCTTGCCAAAAAGAAGTGTGGTTGTTAACTCAATGTTGTCTGCTGGATATATATTATTGTTAAAATTTTTAATTCGACCTATCAACAGAAGCGCATTATGATATTGATTGAAGTGTTTTTTTTTTTTTTTTTTTTTTTCCATAATATTTGACAAACGAACTTCTGTGAAGAAAAGACGCTTTCCTATTTCTGCAACGGAGGCCTGTCGCTGGATATTTATTGATTTGTACTAGTTAGTGATATGTTTTATTGAATGTTTTCTTCATACCACTGACTAGTTAAATTAATATATATTTACAAACATAAGGCAATTGTGATCTGTTGTAGGTCATTTGGTGAGATGGTGTGTTAAATGGTTTCACCATAATGTGTGAGGATTCGATGAACATTGTTTTTATTTCACTGGTCGAATCAAATAGGGGCAATCATCAGTTTCAGATGCTTCACCAACAACCGGGCTCATCATCAATGGCATTACATATTGCAATCTGTGCTCCTTCCTACTTCAATAATGAAAATGATGAGGTCTTGCGAAAGTGGAATCAACTTCAAGCTTTTTGGGGGTTTGGTAAAGGTAAATATGTGGATTTTATTTTTTTTCAATGAGGTAGTGAGTAAACCATTATGGAAAACTTAGTAGATTTGACTAGTTGTTTATAATATTGTAAAATGTATATAATTAAAATAAAGTATAATTTTATGAATTTTATTCCAGGTTATTATTCGTCCAATATGTCACCTGTAGAGTTCACATCTGAAAATCCATATTGTCGTTTCAAAGTAGTTTGCTATACAAAAATTCCCAATTATCGTAATGAAGATGGTATTGTGCAAATTATAATTGGAAGGGGCCTTTCAGAAGTGGAGTAAGTAATTAATAATCATATACTTGTATAATATTCTAATAATTTTTCAGTGTTAAATATGACTAGGATCCGGGAACATTAAAAAATGTTTTTTTTTTATTTTTTTTTATTCTTCCAGGGCCTACAAACAGGAAGTTATTTCAGCATTGAGTCTATTATTCGGAGGTAATGAAGTTGTTGTTAATGAAATTTTTGCTGCTGAAGTACCAAACAAAACGAACTTCAGATTTTACATTCAGCAAGTTTTTCCTAATGGTAAAAGAATTTAAAGATTTTATAATGTTTTCCCTAATAATAATTATCATAAAAAATGATTTCAAGTATGGTATTATGCAAACTGCTCTATATTATAATATACCTTCTAGGAGAGATTCAACGTGCATCTACCACTGACACCTTTAGTCATATGTTAAGAGCATCATACAATCCAATTTTTAAGGTAAGCCTAAGTAAGCCTTATTATAGCTTGCACCAATCTATTTAATGGGAATTGATATCAGGTTGGCTTAAATAATCAAATTAGCTTAAAAGGGACATTATTAATGGAACGTTTTTTGATAGACAGGCAGGTAGATAGCCAGACAGAGACAAAAATGCCTACTTTTTCTGTTTCAGAATTTGTTTATTGAACAGATTATTCCAATGTTGACTTTAACTGAACAACAAATGAAGAAATATCTTGATACACCGCAAAGAGGTAAATGATTTTGATATGACCAATCCATCTACTTATCGTGACATAATGACAAAAGTGAAGATATTACGGGGTATTTTTTTTCCTACATTTGTGGAATTAAAAATTAAAATAAATTATTTATTGTTTATAGGAATTGATCCAGCATTGTGGGAACTGGGCAAGCAAAAAAATCCTGACCCAAAGAAATTGATACCTGTTGTAAAAGTGGGATTTCAGGAATTACAGAAACAGTTCAAGTATCAAGAAGAATATGGCAATAAAATTCATAATAGTATGAAGAATATTATGGATGATATAAGACAATTAAGTTGTATGCAGACGACAATTAAAGTTACCATTCAGAATTTTAAGTTGAAACAGACAAATATAATGCGCCGAGTTCTAAAATTGGTGTCAGCACAAGAGGTTGAAAGGAAAAAAAATCTACCACTAGAAGAAATAGAGGATCAGATTCGACTGCGATTAGAAAACTTGTATATGCAGCTGCAGGACCTCAAGGGATGTTTGAATGAACTAATGGCTCAGTCTATAAAGCCTGGTAGTTTTCCGCGAGCCCAACGGTATGGACTGGTTGTTGACAAAGTGCAGGATATATCACAATACCTAAAATGGCAGCAGGATGCACTTCAGGCTATAGTTAACATACTTAAGGAAGATATACAAGTGGTCGTTAACATAAAGAAGAACATCAGCTAAGTTTTGAGAGTTAAGGAAATTGGCTAACCGTCAACCAACTTCCCCAAACCACATTCAAACATTGGTAATTAACCCTATCATTGTTTAACACCTCCCTCCACCCTTTCAGGGAGGGTATGATGCTACACTGAATTTTTTTGGTTCGTAACCAGCAACACACATTGAACTGATGATATTTCACTCTCTCAGGGAGGGTATGATGCTACACTGATTTTTTGTTTGTAACCCGCAACACACACATTGAATTGATGATAGTCAATAAATTAAATTTTAGTCTAGTTCCTTTTTTTTTTTTTTTTTTTTTTTTTCACATACAATAAGTGCACTCTGCCCATTAGGCAAAGTATTATAATAATTTTGCTAGATATTGATGACACTGACATTTTAACGGAAACTTGAAATAATTGACCTAGAATGTAACAACAATGTTTGTGTTGTCTTACAGGAATAATTTAGTCAAATAAGCACAAACTGTAAACTGCCAGCTTAACCAAGAAAGCCTGCCAGTGATTGGTCAATATAAAATATTCAGCGTGTGAGGGTTAATATCAGAGTCAGTCGATTTTGCTCCAGCATGGAGGACACACCTACAATTTCCTCTCCATTAACATGTGGACAGAAACAACAAGAAAGAAGTGATAATAACGATACTAGTGTTGATGAAGAACCATTACCTTCATCATCCACGTCTTTACCTTTGGGACAAAAAGTTAATGAAGGGTGTGAGAGAGAAGAAGAGGTGATACAAAAAAAGGAATTTGAATTAAAAATTAGCCAAATGTTGGAAAAAGGTGGGCATGGAAGCCGGAAAATTTTCACTCGAGAAAAATTAGCCCAATACATCGAGGAAGTCAAAAATGCTAAATTGAAACTGACTACAAAGACCTCTCATGAATATGATCTATTGTCTCGATATGATGTCAAAAATCTATTTGGGGATGACGTCTTAGTAACCATCGACGAAACTGAACGAAGAATGAAGCGGGGGACCAAGCGTAAACTGACCAGTGACAATCGTCATTCTACTACGGCTGTAACAACAACAACAACAACAACAACAGGAACAACAACAGCTGATCCTGGCCGGATGTGTCGTCGTTTCATACATCAAGGGCAATTGTATGATACGATTTATGATGCACACAGAGCAGTTTGTCACGGAGGAGAAAAAAGAACTTATTTTGAAGCAAGTAAAACTATCGCTAACGTCACTCAACAATCGGTGAAACTCTTTATTTCACTCTGCCACATATGCAATTTGAAACGACTTCCTCGACGAAAAAAGGGGGTAATACGGCCCATTGTATCGACCAGTTTTGCGGAGCGAGGACAAATGGACTTAATAAATATGCAAAAAGAAGGAGGATGTGTGTATAAATATATTTTACATTATCAAGATCATTTAACAAAGTTTTCGGTTTTACGAGCTCTTCGCAGTAAACGGGCGATTGAAGTGGCACGCCACTTACTCGATATATTTGCTCTCTTGGGAGCCCCACGAATTCTGCAGAGCGATAACGGCCGTGAATTTGTGGCAGAGGTGATTCAAGAGCTAAAAAACGAAATGTGGCCCAACATGCTCCTCATTAATAGCAAACCTCGTCATCCACAGAGCCAAGGGAGCATTGAACGTGCGAATGGGGATGTAATCAAAATGCTTGGCAGTTGGATGTGTGAGAATCAAACGCGAGATTGGTCAGCTGGACTTCCCTTTGTGCAATTCACCAAAAACACAGCATATTCACGTGGAATTGGCATATCGCCTTACAAGGCAGTTTTTGGTATAGAACCGCCAATAGTTATGAAGATTCGTCTTTCGCCCTCAATATATAGCCAATTGTTCAATAACTGTCACTATGATGACAATGAAGAAGAAGAAGAAGAAGAAGAAGAAGAAGAAGAAGAAGAAGACAAAGAGAATGAAGAAAAAAGAGGCAAAGAAGCAAAGGTAAAATTCCTTAATATTTATTGGTTTTGTTTTCAGTTCAACCTTGAGTCCTCAATTAATTTCTGTATACTAAATTTTTTTTTTTTTATATAATTGCAGTATTCCCTGTCATCATCAAGTCCGCTGCTGCGTCAGATTTCTTCACCGTTGCCAGACATGGAAGAAATAATTTTTGATGAGGTTGAGGAGGTTACTGTTACTGTTGCTGCTGGTGCTACAACTGCCTCTACTTCCATATTATCCCTGCCACAAATACCGCCACCTTCATTACCCCCTATATTATCACCACCAACACCATCATCACCTGGTATTGTGCTGTCGCCTAAAGTAATAATAAATAGAAGATTATGTAATTTAGAAGATGGTAAACCTAATGATAATAATAATTCTGAAGTAAATAACGATTCATATAATTTACATATTGAAAATTTAGGAACTATTAGAAGCAAAGTTTATGAGCGTCAGATAACTAATGCCTCAAAAATGTTACAATTGTCATCGGCAAATGTAACACCTGTTAGCCTATATGATACTGTTAATGTGATAATACCTAAAGAAGATAGGGAAAACAAAACAGGAATGCGAACAATCAGTGGAATTATCATCGAAATAGACAATGAAAGAGATTTATATCGTGTAGCTACAAAATTTGGAACAATTAATCAATATCTATCAAGAAACGATTTTGATAAAACAATCGAAAGAATAATGCCAAACGAAATTAATAAGAATCAACAACTTGGGCTTCGTGAGATTGTTCGTAGACAATCAAATTACTTTCTCAGTGATAATAGGCACTTGAAACAATTAGTATGCCACTGTAAACTTTTATCTTGTTTAAATCATAGATGTATTTGCAAAAGAAATAATCAGAAATGTACCCAAAAATGCCGGCATAATGAAAATTTATGTAAAAACTCATAGCACCAAAAAGTAAAATGCCGTTTCGCTCGTTTTTCAATATATATATGGTTGGTTTGGTTTAAATACTCATCAGTAAAGAATTATATTTTGTATTTGGGCTTATTATTTATTACCAGTTCACAAACTGTTATTTTGATTGATTCTGACAGAGTATAGAACACAGGTGAGGAGACTAAAAATAATCTAATGAACTCAGCCTTATTAGGTAAATGGGGTCTTTCTTGCACAGTAGGCTGAGACGTTTGTTCTCTGGCATAGAACGTACTTCTTAGCCACTATGCAAAAAAGACCCCATTTGCCTAATAAGGCAGAGTGATTTTCTTGTTGTGTTAGTTTATTTAAGTTAATTCGTTTTAACTCAAATATAAACAAATTAACTTAAACAAACATGAAAGTTGTAGGCCAAGTGCGACGTCCCCTAAAGCCTATAAAAAATTAGAGGTCATTCATACAATTAACTATAGTATTTGGAGGAGCCACTTTGCAATTTCCGAGAACACACCAGATTACATCAGACTTCTGAATTACAAAAACGTTTCCTCTGGGGAATAGCAAATGAGTATATATGACAGGAAGGATTTTGATATTTCGAGTCAGTAACCCAAGACAGACATATGGGCTGAATAAGTATTGGTCATCATTATTTGATATTATATAACCATCAATTAGGTTATGACTGAATCTATCAAATATCTGAGACTCATATACGAGACCAACTGGCTCATAACACTTTACATACTGTGGATACCTATTTATTTGCCCACTCCTCCTGCGAGTACAACTCCATCTTTTCTTTAAGGCTCCCATGACATAAGTTTTTTCGTCCATATTCTGATTACTGGTTCCTAAAGCCATTACGCCTAAGGTTATAGGCTCTTTCAATATTTCAGCCCTTTTATAACCAAATTTGTATAATATTAGCGAAGGTACACAGAGACCAATGGGAATTTTCTTGCCTTGTAATTTACATTTTATAGTCCTCTTTGCAGTACCTTCCCTTTCATGTAATGTCGTTGAAGAAGCATTACAAAGGTCAGGTATTTTTAACCTCTCGAATATTGAAAGAAATGGAATATTATACTCATCTTCATTAAACCACTCACAGATTTTTCGTTTCCTTTTAATTTCAAAACGGGGATGAATAAATGTCAACCTTAGATCTACTGGATACAATTTACAAACTTTTTGATCTGTTTTAAATGAAGGAAAAATTCCACATCTTTCGGCATCAGTATCCATAGTTTTTATTACTTCTTCATAAAATCTCCCAACAATATCGGAAAAGTTGGGAGGTTTACCATTTGCAACTGTAATGTAATTTGTTCTTTCCATGTAATGTAGTTTATTGAAAGAAATGGAATATTATACTCATCTTCATTAAACCACTCACAGATTTTTCGTTTCCTTTTAATTTCAAAACGGGGATGAATAAATGTCAACCTTAGATCTACTGGATACAATTTACAAACTTTTTGATCTGTTTTAAATGAAGGAAAAATTCCACATCTTTCGGCATCAGTATCCATAGTTTTTATTACTTCTTCATAAAATCTCCCAACAATATCGGAAAAGTTGGGAGGTTCTCCATTGTCGAGGGTACCATTTGCAACTGTGAACTTTGATGTAATTTGTTCTTTCCATGTAATGTAGTTTTTAGGTAGCAATACTCGTATTGACGGAGACTCAATAAAGTATATCAATACTGGTACATCTTCCGGATGTATTAATTCAGCGATTGCTATGAACCCTCCTTTTTTTGTTTTTTCATTTTTTACAAGTGTATAACCTGAATATTCGATGGGAATGAAGTTTGAAAGTTTATCAACAAGCCAGTCCTTCCCAATGAGGCAATATATTTTAATATCTTTATAATTGTTCAACACGCCTAATGTAGCAGAGGCATATTCTCCACAAATGGCAGCTGATCCTCTTGCTTGACCAATTATGTAGCTGGCAAGTTTCATTTTAGGGGTATGGATTGAAATCATAATTGTAATCTTACCTAATAAAAAATATCTATATCCTTTTATAATGAATAAATAAAAAAAAATCCACTATATAAAGAAGTGTGTGACCAAGAAAATCAAAGTCATTAATCCTATAAATTAAGGTAATGGATTGGAATCAATTATTAGTATTATTATTAATATTGACCGTAAGAAAAATTACTACTGTTTGTTTTGCTCATTCTATAATTCCATGGGCTCCATTATCTATTAAAACTCCATACATGACATTTATAAATGACCCATTCCATCCTACATGGCAAACAAGACATCAACAATCAAAAACAAAATTATTTAAAGAAATAGTAATGATCCCAACTGTTTATAATATTTCATTTTCAATAACATGTGGTGCATGTTATACATACTCTTATTTCTTATATCCAAAATTAACTATAAATGT